GATGTTTACATTGATTTTCATTGTTCTTGTTTAACTTTGTTTTTAGAAATTAAAAAATGTCTTACCAAAGTACCCATATTACAAAATCCTAATTGGAATTAGACCATTTGAAATTATGTGTGATGCATCAAATCATGTAATAGATGTTGTAGATAATAAATTAGTTGTTATATGTTCAATTGAATTATACCACCACTGAGAAAGAGTTGTTAACTATTGTTTAGAGAAATTTAGATCTTATATTCTAAGTTCCAAGATCATATTATATACTCACCATGTAACTCTGAAATATCTATTACCCAAGACGGAAACCAAGACTAGATTACTTAGGTGGATCCTTCTCTTGCAAGAATTTGATTTGAAAATCAAAGATAAAAAATGATTCGAAAATGTCATGGCTGATCATCTTTCTATGATAAGTGATATTGGACGTCAAGTGGAACAACTCCAAGATGTATTATGAGATGAAAAACTGATGGCAATGCATCACATGGAGGAAGCATGAGATACACACTTTGTAAATTTTCCTATTTTAGGGAAGATTCCAAAATATTGAAAACCGATGAAGAAGGAAATGGATGAAGAAAGAAACCAAGAAAGAAGGAAACTAACAAACATGGAAATTGATGGAGGGAAAGATAACCGTCCCTTGCATTGCCTATAATACACAATGTGGGAGGTGGCATTTTTTGCCCATGTTATCAATATCCACCAAAGGAATTATTTATAATGTAAGTTGGCCTTTGAGAAATTATCACATCTTCAAGTTTTCATAACAAGGATACCATGTCTAGTGCACCAAAGAGTATCCAAATCATTAGAGAGAGTCATAGAAGTGAAGGGATAATTTCCACGACATCATAAAAATAGTAAAATAATTAAAAAAAGACATACTCATGTGTAGGCAAGATGATGAATGTATGACCTCCATCATGGCCCAGCTTCAATTATTTTGGAGGATGTATTTGGAAACTTATGACCATGCTTATTCTATATGCCAAAAATTCATCAAATTTTCAATATGAGACTAATTTCTCTTTTTAGGTTTTCTGCATCAAAGACAAACGTAATGAATACAATGAGAAATATGGCAGATGATTTGACCAAATTGATGAAGTTTGAGAGGAAGAATAAAGCATATCAATCAATCTATCACCCTCCCCAACAACTTTCTTTCTCTCTTAGTACGGACAAATGCTAGATTTGCCCAAATCATCCAATGTGATACAAATGATGATTTTAGTTTTGGTTTCTTCTTTATTCAGCTTCTAGAGAAGCTGAACTTCATCCACCAACTTGTTCATTCTTTGTCTAATACAACAATAAAGAATTTTTTTTTAGGGTCTTTTTGCAGATGTCATGGCACGTTAGAAGTCAAACTACTACCACCAATCAATTATAGCAAGTGAAATTTGTTGGGATCATCATTCATGGGCTACAGCCACTACAAAGGTTGTGTAGGAATTCAGTTGATACACCGTGCCTGCACCAATTGATTGAGTTTGTACAGAAATTTGATCAATAATTATGCCACTCATTATTTCATAAAATCTCAATCGTTGCATGATTTTTAATATTTTTTCAATTTATTAAAAGTTGATTCAATCGACATTGTATTACAAGCAATTTTTCTTTTGAAATAAATGTTTAATTCAAACTATTTGGGCCTAATTTTTGAGAAATTCGAGTTGATATATTTATGGTGACTCAAACTTGGGGGCTATTCTTTGTTGATGATGTAGACTCACATCATAATCCCTAATTTAATAATTTTTAATTATTTTTGATAATTTTTAAAGTTAAATTTTTAAGAAGTTAATCTATCACTCATAATCATAAATATAATTAATTAATTTTTTTATCTTCCCTATGTTTGACTTAGGAAAACCTTATAAAATTAAATATTTCTAAATTATAAAATTTTCTCACACATAAATTTTAAATTTTCTCAATTTTCTTAACAACAACATAGAATATTTAGTGAGTGATATGTGAAAATACAATAAGGCATCCCAAAATTCAATGGCTTAGAAGGTCCTTAATAAGTCTCTATTATCATGAGTTAATAGTTAGTTAATGATATATTTTATACATTAACTTATGATAAATAGTTTCTATTTATCTTAAATTGAGAAAACCAGTTTTAACATGATTAGTGTTAATTTGTGGTCAATATGTGATTTTATATGATTTTATATTTATATTTTTATGTTAAAAATGAAGCAAAATAAAATATTAAATAGGGAAGGAACATATTGGCCAGCTGCTGCTCAACATTTGCTTTGGTGGAGGGGAAGTGCTCAAGTGGATTGACCTAGATTGAGTAGAATTACAAGCTGGGCTCAAATGGGTTGAGACCCACATAGAGCATATGAGTGTCACTCCTCTTCTATGTCATTAGAGGTGTACTAGTGGGTGCAGTAAGGTATGACCTTATCACATGTGTTGGATGGGGGTGGACCACCTATTATCTCCTTCCCAAGTGGTTTTGACTATTTTATTTTTGAGAGAAGGCATCAAAGAGAAAAGTGACCTTAAACTTCTATAGATATACAGAATTCTAAAAAAATTAATGGGACACTAATTGGCAACTCCTATTGATTGAAATAATCTTAAGAATATTGATGAATTCGAATTGGAGGTTAAATACATCATCGTGATGCAACCAAGTTCATGCAAAGAATATTTATTAAATTTCACATTTTTATTTAGGATAAGTAAGGGTTGATCCTCATGAAGCATGGGTAATGAGAGTAAGAATTTTATCTATTTTATTTCTTATATATATATATATATATATACCTACAATTGTGAAGGGCGGAACTACATGTAAAAAAGATAAAGATAAGAGTTATGAAAAATGTGGTCATAGGGAGAGAATGAATCTAACGCAATGGAATGATAAAATAAATGGTAAAACTAGTTCAAATTAAAAGTTAATCTATCTATGTAGAGGATTACAAGGATGTTCAAAATCTGGATCCTACATAAATTTTGTTGTGTGTCAATCTTAGGCTAAGTGATGCTCGATTTGTGATGATCTTGATACACTTCAAGTAATCTTACGCATGAGAATGTAATTGATCAGGCCTTGATTTCCTTCTTATTTCCTTCGGCTAGCCACTACTAGAGATAGAGCTAAAAAGTGTCTTCCAAGAAGGGGGCGAGATGTCTTAATCCTTTTGAGAGTTAAGACCCTTCTAATAGATGATTATGATTAATAATTAACTCTCTTAGTGGATGGCCTAAATCATTCTATAAAGACGACACTTTAATCTTTCTCTTAATCTCGTCTTAAGGTGTTGTAAAATGATTGGCCTAGATCTCATCTCTTGATAATCCTTTTAAGTTCAAATAGGCTTAGTTAAGATGACACCCTCTTTTGGGCCCATAAACATATTAGGCCAGCTCTCCTTATAAGACTTAGACTTTTCATTGAGCTGAAGGTTTAAACTTTTTCCATTACTTCCAACTCATAATAAGAGCTCACTTAACACTTTATAATCAAATAATTATTAAGAAAGTATGAGAAAATCACCACTTAACTTCATAAAAGTCAAGTGAGGTTAGTCTCATAATATAAATAAAATAAGTAAAAAAATATGTATTAGGACTTAAATAATAAAATAGTATAAATATCATAATGAGTTGAGAACACATGTAATTATATTTCCTACATATTAATTAGTATGTATATATAACATATTAATACATGGATGTAATTATTAATTTGTAATTACGAAATACCTCTATGTAAAGAGAAGGTAATGCATTCTTATTTTCACTATTTTCAGGATATAATGAGAAATTATTTAACTTCACTTATGCAGCTATGTGACAAATGGAGATTCAAAGATCACCAATGTCAAAAGATTATTTTGACTTTATGATATTTTTTAAAAGGGAAATGATCAACAAAAAAATTGATTGAAACAATCAATTGTCTATGGAATCTTCATTAATTTAAAATGGGAATCTTTGGGGTTGCATCTGACCAAGGATTTAGAATAGAAGAATAATGAGTCCTTAAAGAAAATTTCATTCTAGTGAGTTAGTGAACAAATCATCATCAAGAATAAAGGAATCCACTAAGAGACTTGCTGCTGTCTCTTCAAAGTGTTTCATATACAATGAGAGCCTTATCTTGCTATGTGAATTTGAGGAAGAAACTCATAGTCTTGCACCACCTCCACCTATTCATAACTACTAGAGACCTATCTTTGACACCATTCTTTGCCCTCTAGACTTCATATGAGAATTTAGAGAATATTCATATTATGCATGTCCAAAGAGAACCTTCAAGGTGGTGGACATCATTTGAATACCTTCTAAATACCTAGAATTCTAGTGATTATCATTATGTCGCTAGAACTCTATTTTACTATTTAATTTTTTTTAATTATTAAATTCATAATAGTTTGCTTGAGTTGAAGTTTTTAAATTCATCTTTAATTTATTACAAATCATTTTGAGATTTCAAATCTTAATTTCATTCATCAAACCTTTGTAAATCATTTTGGTAATAATTGCCAAGCAGAGAGTTTTTTACCCAAATTGTTGTTCTAGCAGGTGATGATGTCAATATAATGTCAACATCTGATTTTTTCCTTTCCTCTAATTTTAAAATGATTTTATAATCATTTTTTATTATAAAATATTTTAAAATTTTGTATTCTTTGCAAAATATTTTGAACTTTCTTATGACATTATCATACATTCCTATGATAGACTTCGAAAATTTTTACATTTTTTGAACTCATTTATGATGTAAATTGATATATTTATACAGAAATAATTTCTAAAATTCTAAAATTCATATTTTTTAGTTTTATATGGACAGAAGATTTTTAAGGGGTACTCCAATATCAAAAGAAAATAGTAGCGGAATATTCATTCATTAAATTTATGAGGTCAAAAGTATAAATAACTGTTAAAAAATAATGAATCACGGTAGAAGTTGGTGGACGTCACCGTGCCGTCCGGTCGCAGAGACGGGGGCGCTAATTCGCTCCCGAAACTCTGGACGACGAACTGGCGAGGTGACCGCTGTAGCCCTCCGGCGACAGCCGCCCCTTCCCAGTCGCAGCGTCCTTGAGCGCCGGCTCCAGCCCCAGCGCAGCCAGGGCCTCACTGGTGTAGTGCCTCTTTAAATTTGAGCCCTGCTGCACAACCAGCATCGCGATGCTGCGCGTGGCGTCCGATCGAAATGGACACCGCGAACTTTGGAAGCCGTCTACCAGGTGGAGGTAGGCCTCCAGGTCGTGGCAGCAATAGGGGTCGGCATCTGGCCTTAGGAACGGTGACTCCCGGCTGTCCACCCTCAGCTCACTCCCTACGTCTGAGTACGAAAGCGCAGTCATCGCTCGGTCCACTGCGACCCGCCACTTGTCCGGTACCGCAGTTCTCATTCCGCCGGCCACCGGCAGCCGCGACTTTTGCCTTGTCGGGGAGGGGGCGCCGGCGTCTTCCTCGGCTGGGTTACTGTGGACAGAGAAAACTCCGGGCATCTTCGTGACGAGGTCACGTTCGTTTAGCACTCGCAGGACCTTGGCCCCGCGGGCGCGGACCCTCTGGGCGAACCCGAGATTTCCTACGTGCGGCCCGCCGAAGGAGAAGACGGCAACTGGGGTCATGGTGGCGCCGTACCCTCTGAGCTCATCCGCCACGAGCACAGCCAACGCCGCGCCGAGGCTGTGACCCACGACGGTGATGCTAAGCTTCTCGCCTTTGTAGAGCTTTATTAGCCTCCTGACCTCTTTCAGGACCGCATCACTTAGACTGGGAATTCTCTCGGAGCCGGTCGTGTATAGGCTCCAGAAGCCGCAGCCGACCTTCGGCTCAGGAAATTGCTCGGCTTTCTGTGAGTTCTCCTTGTTGTGGGGTATCTCGACGAGGGTCGCTCGGAAGTTCTCAGCGCATTCTAGGACTGTGGCGGTGCCCCGCAGTGCGATGACGATGTCACGCCGGCCAAGGCGACTGATCTCGCGCTGGCGTTCGCACACGGCGACGAACCCAATCCAACTGAGCGCTGCCGCATCCACGGCGCCAAGCTGTCGACCCATCGAGGCGCCTCGATGGAGGATGTGGCGTAGAGGCTACCTGTGACGCGGTAGGAGCGGTCCGGGAGGGCGACGTAGCGTGGGTCGGAGGGTAGCGCTTCTAGGTCTGCGTGAAAGGCGTGGTACGCCGCCTGGACGAACTCGCCATAGCGAACAATCTGTTTACGGAGGTCCTCGTCCAGTGGGTCCAGAAGGCCAGACCAGACGTTGGCGCCGTACAAGTCTCGCCACCGGCGGCCGATCATGTTGTGTTGTGAGAACAGATGTGCGCCGGAAACGAGGCGCTGAATAAGGTTCACGCTCCTTGGAGACATGGCTTCAGTGGTCCTCTCTGAGACGATACTGGGGAGGTTGAGATCATCGACAAAGGCCCTGCCGACACCGCTTTCACAGTCACCGCTTCCGTTTCCGTCCGGATGAGAGAGAGGGACAAGGGATTCGGACACGGATTCCCGCAGGAGCAGGCGGTTAAGGTTGGCTAGGTGGGCGTCAATGCGGGTTGCGGTAGAGGGCTGTATTGGTGGATTCTCGGAATAGGCTGAGCCGGAGACCTGGAGTCTGCTTGGATTGAGAGGGGAAGAACGGCGAATCGAGCAATACCTCCCGCCCAGCGAAACGTACCGCGGTGTGATGGCGGCCGTCGCACTGATGTGCATGACAGGGAGGGTAATCACGCTCAAATGCAGAGAGGGGGAGGGGGACTCCCACTCACCTTACCTGTAGACGGAGAATTTTGGGGATGGAGAAGTGGTGAAAGCTGGTGGGTTGAAAGGAGGTTTCTTGAAGACATGAGTCACATAAATAGATAGCTCAAGGTATCCGTCTAAGTATCGTGTGAAGGCTTCTTTGACTTAGCCGTATTTTTGCGAAAGTCGTCCATTCCCGTTGATTGACAATTCGAGGTTATGCAATCCATTTATTTGATTGTTTAGAGCAAGAAATGGGAAACTGAGGATTTTGATTACCGTTTCATACGAAGCGATCGAATGGGTATCTCATATAGATGATATCACGTACGAGATTTTCGTCAATAGTCCACTATCTGTTAAAATAAAATAACTTCTTAGAAAAAATATGAGCCAATTTTGCTCTTAGGAATAAGCTTTGACTTTCGTAAACTAATAGTCTCAGCGTTATATCATATTCTGAACTCAACTGCTCACACACCGCGTTTCTGATGTTCACGTGACAACTTCTGAACTTAACGTACACCTAAATAGGCATATTGATCATAATACGAAAATGTCCATTTGAAAAGTTGACATGATATTTATTATGAAGACAGGCTAACTGATATGTCTCCCGATGGTATTCACATGACATTAGATCCAGCTTATGTTCATGGAAGAACACTAAAATGTCAGCAAAATGTGTGTTAAGAGTCCTCCCGAAGTTGATTTTTCCTGAAAAAAGGTCATAAACCTTATATTCAAACTAAATAGTCTCAAGGAAACTTCTCCCTCATTCTGGCTTTTTGATGGATTTAGAAAGACGGAGGAATCGGAGCCCTTCACCCAGTCCTATCCTCAATACAACACTGAAGACTCTCGTCTTGCCGCGGAGGTGTTGATCAAATTCAAAGCATTGAAACACTTGACAGCTGTCGTCTATCAGTGCCACCAAATGGTCAACGTATGCGGCGTTTGCGGCTCTTTGGTCTCCCTGGTCGGAAGAGTGGAAAAGACAGAATACGTAGAAAAAGATTATTTCGGCTCTCCTATTGAAGGAAAGGGAAGAAGATGAGATATCTTGACCCCTGAAGTAGACCGTTTATTTGAGGAATCCTGTGAGAAAATGATGTTATTCATGGTGGACGATCAAAACTCCTAATGTCGATCTGTTATGATCCCTCAAGTTGAACAATCTACCGCTGAATTGGTTAGCTGCTACTCATGCAATCCGGATCTGATTATGTCCTTATGCTTATCTTGTGTAAAACTAAATGTCTTATGTGAAGAATCGCCGTAAGGCCATCTCTCGCTGACAATGCAGAGCTTCATGGTGCAAGTCAAAACAGCCTAGGGGATGTTGGAAAAGGATTCACTCGTATGTCGGCCGTGATGGATCGAAGGAAGATTTAAACGGGGGGGGGGGGGGGCAAGGACGTCCTGGGGGTAGTTAGGTGGGATACGTGTTGGAAACCCCGTTAGAATTGTTCTAATCAAAATGCAACATAAAAAATATGTTGTCCTCCGAGAGGGCAATAAGAGGTCGATGAGCGTGTCGGCACCGACATTGTGAGTTACGCGGACATAGAGGTGACCACGGCCACCAGGCCAGTGAGTGGCGTCTCTTGTCCATCACCGAAAGGGAGAATGAGGGTGACGACATGCCCATGGGGACCCAGGGCGGTGACGTCTATTGGCCATTGTAGAGCTGGTATTTCGCTGGCAAGTGGCGTCGTCCCCTCCAGTGCTGGTGAGGATGTGGTGGAGGTGTCCGTCAAAGGTCGTCCTTGACCTGTGCGTGGTGGTTCACCCACCCGATGAGGGTCGTCGTCTCCTTTAGTGCCGTTGGGGATCACGCGGAGGGAGATTCATTCACACGTAAAGTTCAACCCCATTTACTACAGATTGAAACGATCTTCATCTACGGAAAGAACACCAGATTCTTTTGCTTATTCTCAAATATAAGCTTCAACCCTTACATCTTTCACGTTAAAACTCCACTGCAGAAATATACCCTCCTTGCAGTCCAGGCATCACAAAGCGCGTACGCGTTGACTGGGTTTGCCATAATTAGGAAGTTTCTGTATGCGTGCAAAGGATGCTGACTTTGGCAAGGGAAAAGTCAACACCGTTGACATCCTGCAGGGTAGTTGAAAAGTTGATGTCCAAGGGCGTTGTCGTCGTTCGGAGCGGATTATAGATGCCTGAGAGGTAAACCGCGGTTCGGCAATGAAGCGGGATATCAATATTGATTAGGTGGAGTTAGGTGCCTGGACGCCTCTAAATCCACCAGTTAAAGAGGGTATCAACGAAAAAGGCTGCCGTCCGTTGATCTGATGCCTGTTGAGGTTTTCACGTTACAAACTCAGATCTTTAATTTTCAGGAAGTTAAACAATCAGGGAGTGATTGTCATTCGGGCTATTGTAGGAAAGTTCCTCAATTATAAGTATTTTAAACTGGGAAACAAATAGAGTTAGAATTTAAAAACTTTGTACAGTCGATGTGCTTAGCTGTAATATTGTAGATATTCTATGCGTCATACATATATTATAAGTTAAATAGAAGCAAAGACTTCTTCCCTGTGGAATTGTCATCCATTCCTTTTCCTGATCTCCTTGGCTTCAATTCCTTGCTCAATATTCAGGCTGTAGTATTACAACTAGGGCTCGATGAATTTAAATCAGCAAATATTTGAAGGTATATGTCACTGTGCCATTTTTCCTACATTTAGACTATCTTTAGTTCAACTGTCTCCCCACTTAGTGGAGACTGCTGCTATCTTTGAACCAGGTCAGTGAATATTCACTGGACACAAAAGATAAGCTCTATTCTATCAAAAACCTGGAATGATTTGACTGAATAGTTTTATCTAAAAATACTGATGAATGAATTCTTGCTGGATGATTTAGCCTTCAAAAACTCCACTGAGAATAGAATTTCCTACTGTCTTTTGGACGGACTATCAGCCGTGGAAGCTATTAATTTTCTCCGAACAGACTTGTTAATTCCTCCGAATATTAATAATCACACATCTTAGGAGATTCTTATAGCTAGAAAGCCGTATCATCTATTCTAAAAAAGGTAAGCCCTTCAATAGCTAGAACAAAGCAAGTGTTTTGACCATTTTTAGTGACTACTTATGCAATATAACTGTTGTGTTTGGAACGTTAGACACCAAAGTTATAAGAGATGATTACCGGGATTTTGGGCTGGAAACATTGACAGTTACCTAAAGTTTAATTGCTTGATATTTGGGTGAGCACTTAAATATAAGGGCTCACACGAATTCTAGAACACAATTCTGCATATAATACCTTAGCTTACTCTAGCTGGAGCTATAAAACTTATAGGCATGACATCTTGTCATATTCCCCTTAAGTTTTTTCCATTTTTCTTTTGAAAAACCATCATTTCGTTACCTACAAATAAGGAGAAATGTAGAGACAGTTTAGTGAGAAGTTAAGGTTTCATAGTTGTCGTCATTATATTATGGTTTGCATACTGAATTTTAGTGCTTGAAATCCTCGAAATAAATAATTATCCAACAACTAAATGGCATTATATAAAAAATAACATTAAGTGAACTTTAGTTGTTTTTTAGGATATTTTATGCAATAGAAAATTTTAAGTAATTAAATTCCATTATTAATAAGATATGTTTTTAAAGTTTGCAATTATATGAGCACTCTCTTAGTACTCATTTTTTTATCTCTTTTAGTAAGATGTAAAATAATTAGATTGAATAGGAAGAAGATTAGCTCCTTCAATACTAACATGCTAAATGTGAAAATTATTGCTTTTAAGTTTTTAATGGTTACTAGTAATCATAAAATGATAAATAGAAAAATTATGCATAAATATTTTATCCCCATTTATGGTCACGTGAAGGTTTACAATGTTTGATCTAATGGATATGTTGTTGCACTAAATTTTCAAATTTTATAAAATGAAAATAATTTCATAAAAGATATCTATTAGAAGAAATCCAAAATCAGAGCAATTAGAAAAGTTTGAACAAAAACAAACTGAGAGAGTGCGTTGGAAGGCCTAGGAATGTTGAAAGCGCACTTAGGACATTTACTAAGAGACCTAGAAAAGTTATTTCAGTCTAATGGATATCTTAATAGGCTTGAATTTATACGAAAAGGGTGGGGGGTTTAATTTTTTCGTTAGTGGGTTTTCACATTTTATAATGGTTTTAAATAATTCTTGTGAATATTATTAATATTGGTTCGACACAATTCTTTGGGTCTGCACAATATGTAGCCACTAAATTGGGGTTGACATACTTAAACTCTTGTTTGGATTAATCATAGATATTTATAGAAGTTTGGCATTTCCTTGTCTTTAGTCTACTTCTTAAGCGTCTTGATCTTTTGGTTCCATCATTCTTCCTTAGAAAAATAGAATCAAACTTGATAGAACAATAACTCTATTATTCAATTGATTTCATGCGTTCATCACCCCATGCTAGACGGCCAGACAATATTTTGCCATTTTATGCTCATTACAGCAACTGTCTCATGATGCCTTCATGTAGGAAATGAATTTTAAGAGTGTTCTGAAAGTGAAACAGTCATTTTCTTGTTATGTGGGCAATTTGAGCGTTCAAGGAAGCTTGATTGTGCGAAAGCTTGCAACATATTTTAACTGGTGGGTTGAATGTTTTTTAAAAAACAGAACAATTTTTGGGATTCAATTTGGAAGCTCTTCTGACATTTTATTTCTCTTACCCAAAATATTGAGCATTGGAGATCTTAGAGATATGACCACTCAAAAATGTTTGAGTCCACATGTGAGTCGACCTGATACTAGACTGGAGTTTTCTCACGAGTGTCAGATTGTCAATTTGATTACATTAATCAGCTAAGAGTAAAAAAATATTAGTTCAAGATTTTCTGGGTAAGGCAACCTAGTATCTGTGCAGAATGGGGAGATAAACTCATAAATCTATCATGTGAAAAGATTTGGTATAATTCTCTAGGAGAGAATGGCAAAACACAAAGGTACAAACCCTTAGTACCTGGACGTTGGGTAGGGTAGGCCACTTCATTGTCAATCTTAGTTTTATACACACTCTGATTCATAGTGTATCTACCTAGTGTGGTGACCTAAATTAGATTGTGTGTACCCGAGCTAGTTGGTGTAGACTTAGTAAAGTACAGAAGAAGGAAAGTAACTTAAAACCACATAAATGTATTAAAATAATTTTTAAAAATGATTTACCCACCTATGATCATAGAAATGTATGATTAAAAATCTTTTCCGTTTAATTAAAATTTATTTTAAAAAGGAGATTTTCGAAAATCAAGATATGGTATAATGACTTTAGGAAGAAATTTTGGTAGTCATCGTTTCCTCTTCCTGGATACTTACTTAAAAGTTAATCCTTTAAACGAGGATAGTCACTTTTTAGCATCTGATTCATTCTAGAGCATACTTTTCCTTTATAGACTTATATTTTTATGGTGTCATTTATTTGAGTGCTAACTTTCATATACCCAAGCATTTGGCTTCATCCGCTTATAATTTTTCAAATAATAAATTGTAGCTATAGCAAGTCATCCTCCAAGGATAGATCCGAGTTTCTATTGCTGAGCATTTTTATTTACAATGGTTTCAAGGCATCATTGACTTAATAGCTTCACCCAAGCAATTAGTAACTGTGAAAACTCTATCATATCAATCACTCAGACTAATGATGCTAATTAATTTATAGATTTAGAGTACTATAGGCCAACTCTATGCGATGCACCTAATGAAATCAGACTAATTGGGATCACTCCACTTAGCTAAAGAACAAAGATATATGAGTAAATATCTTACCATAGATCACTACACGTTGTTCGTTAAATTGATATGGTTTTGACAATGAAGCCTTATTCAATGTTCGGAAATAATACTTGCTTTCATGCGTTATATTGAATTTATTTCTTGTAATATGGTTCAACAGTTATGTAGGAAGTTATCTAAAATTCTGTATAACCTAGTGATTTTATGATGGAACCAGAACCTGGAAAGTTTTTCCATTTATTATTAATATGAAAAATTTAATCATTCTTCTAATCTCTAGTAATTAGCAGTGTTAGATCTTACACAGTATTTTTTCAATTACCTTCAACGTATCTGAATTTTTTGAAAGATCACAGAACTTGAAGTGTAATAAATGTGAACATATTTCTTTCACCATTGTGATCCTTGATTCTAGAGCTTCTAGTTAAATCCATATCATTACACATGATTTAGAAATAAATTTTCTAATTTAAATATGGACCGTCTTAAACTCTAAAACTGACTTCTGTAAATACACAAAATTGGGCCCTTGTACCCAATATCCAAGATGAATCTGCTCTAGAAATTATTTAAATATAGTAATAATTTTAGTTATTTAATAAATCTAGCGATCCTCAAAATTCATTCTCAACTTCTTGATTCTCGATTCTCAAGATGTCATTTTAAAAACAGTGCACTTTCTATTTTCTAGAGATCTCCAAAGAAGGTATATTTAAAAGAAGCAATCTATTTTTCATTTTGAAACCATACTTCTAAACGAAGATGCATGCGATCTCATCAACAAACTATGAGTCTAATATTTTCAAATTAGGTATTCAAACATTAAATGTGACAATGGTCTACTGGGAAATATTACAGTTGCAATGATGCCGCAATGCCCGAGAATTAGGGACTCATTTCTAAGGTTTCCTCGTCGATCGTGTCCGAGCAAAAAATCAAACAGGTCTACAGAGTCGAGGTGAATCAGACCCTGATCGTGTTGGCTTGGCAGCCCAACTCGGCCATTCTTTTCTCTCCCATTTACTTTCTGTTTGACACGATTATGTTTTGAATATTAGAAATATTAATATGAGGAGATCAGTCGACAAGGTGCAGCTGTACAGCACTCTGCGAGGTTCACCCTCGCTTGGAAGTAGAGAGAGCGTGTTGGCGAGGGGGGGGGGGAGGGTGGGGAGACAGACAGAGAGAGCTCCATCCGGCAGACATAATGAGGTATTTTCCACGACTTCCGCAGTACTTTTCCTTCTCTCTGTTCTTCATTCATCTCCCACTTCAAGCAATGGCCTCATGCAATAACTCCTGTGGCTCTCTACCGGTGAGATACCCCTTCGGCACGGGCTTCGGCTGCGGTTCTCCTCTCTTCTTCCCTTCCGTCACATGTACCTCCGGCGGCATCAGCGACGACGGCGGCAGCGACCAGCTCGTTCTGACCACTCACACGGGCACCTACCCCATCAATTCCATCTCCTACTCTACCTCCACCCTAACAATTTCCCCATCTACCATGTCAAACTGCATCACCATGCTCCCCTCCACCGCCAATTTTGGTCTCGACTGGGCCGGGCCATTCCAGCTCGGCCCTTCCATGTTCGTACTCCTCGGGTGCTCCGCCAATACCTCCTCCCTCAGCTACAAGAACAGCGCCCCCATCTGCGACATGAGCCAGTCTCACGTCTGCGAGTCACTGTACTCCTGCCCCGGCATGCTCTCCCTGGGCATTCCGATCTTTGCCCCGGCAAATTCTTGCTGTGTGTACTCCCCGGCGAGCCTGGGCCCCAAGGGTGAACTCGATCTCGCAGACCTCCACTGCGCCGCCTACACGTCGGTGATGTCCTACGGCGACGTCGCCACCGACCCCCTCCGGTGGCAGTACGGCGTGGTGCTCAAGTTCGGCCAGACGAGGTTCGAGGAGTATGGAGGAGCGGAGATGTGTGGTGCTTGCGAGAGCAGCGGCGGCGTCTGTGGTTACACCCCCCCGAGGAACTACTTCAGCTGTGTGTGCGCCGGCGGCGTCAATTCGAGCATTGATTGCACAGGCCAGGACAAGGCGCCGAGGGAGTATTTGGCCTCCATTGGTACCCTAATTTCCCCATCCCAAGGTAAGCAGTCTGTACACTGAATCATTCGCCAGCCATTCACACGGTACGAATCAGCGTCATTTGCTGATTAAGTCCCAATCTTTAACCCTGTTATGGAATCAAGAATTAGTTACAGACTCATTGACATCTTGATAACTCAGTCTCTATTGTACTTCCAGGAATTTTCATGCTGAGCTCAGCGATTCTTTTTTTCTTCCTCATGCGGGCAATTGAGCTACAGGGATTGAACGCGAGCTGACAAGGCAGCGACATGATCAACAGGTTTCTTCTACACATGGCTTCTTTATCGTCCAAGGGAAAGAAGGCTGAGAAGGCACTGAGTTTGTTGTTTATTAGGAAAGATCCTAGTCAGAGGGGGTGGGGTGCGGTGTGCTTGTGATTAAAACAGGGAATGAGAGAGCTGATGCATGCGCCATGGTGGATGCCCCTATGGCAGAATCGGATGCTCTGTTTCCTTTTCGAAAATAGCTCCGCCACCCTTTACGTTTACAAATTCAACCTAAAAACAGAAGAAGACAATATTTCAAGAAAATGGCTTTCGGAGGTGTAGTTGTTGGGCAACTACGACTGGTGCAGTGAAAGACCCAGGTTAGCCATCCTCCAATATATTATAAAACGGCGAAGACTAGTAGAGTTACTTCTAATAAATCATTTGGCGTGTGTTAAACTCGTAAAAGCCCATATTCAATAGCGCTCACCGTACATTCATAATTGCCTATGTTCCAAGGGCCATTTGAAATTTACAGCGTAGGATGTAGAGCTCAGGACCCTGAACACTGTTGCCATGGCTTTACCTACTATACCATCCTACTCCAAGTGTAACGATGAGGTTTGGCAATCTTCATCATACATCTCCGGTTTCTTCCGATTAATCCTGGTAAGAGAAGCTGCTAATGGTGCTGAAGTGACCCCTTTAAGTGACGTTGGTATTCAAGCCAGAGTTTGTAACTCATATGATGATAATCAGTGAATGTACGATTCGCCGTATGGATTCTAATGGTAGCTCTCAGCGAGAAATTGATACAGATAGCATTGAATAAAATGAAACACATTTTTCCAGATGACAGAATTCTGATGTTTCCTTCGAGAAAAACCTTGGAAACAGTGTGGAAAATACGACAACTTACACTCCTAGTTTGTGTCCATTAATCTTACTCGATCCTGATGTAATCAAATTTCCCGCAGAAAACATAATGTAAAAGATGTCTGACCTAGGTCCCTCCCATAAGAAGACCTATTAAATATGAAGTACGCCATTTTCCCTCAAATAACATGACCCACAGACAATGAGGTAGGTCCATTTACCTCATGTAGTATTGTGACCTTGTAGACATGTTTAGGCCTACTCACGTGTAAGCATGATGTAGGCTCATTTCCCTCATACAACATGGCCTATAAAATGTCTAGACCTGTGTCACTATTTTACTATTAAACATGACTCAGTAAACATGACTTCGGCGCATTTCCCCCAATTCAATATGACTAAGCAGCCATGAAGCAGGCCCATTTTGGGTCACATAGCATGACCTAAAAAATATGAACTAGGCTCATTTCCCTCATGCAGCATGACCCAGTTAACATAAGTAAACTCATTTTCATCAAAAATAGGATGTAGACTACAAAGTAGGCCCCTGTTACTCCTCTCTGAGTTGACCATGGCTGGGGAAAGCAACCAGAGAACATACACAAGCTAGGGCAAGCTCTGACTAACCCTTCAAACTGAACCAATTAATAATTATGCACCGTTCGAGCCAAAATCTATCCACTACCCTTCATTGCAGAGCCTAATACTTCCCAGTCAACGTAGTCCACTGGTTTGACAATAGCCTAAAATCATGCCCACTCTCTCTCTCTCTCTCTCTCTCTCCTCCCAACTCCCCCCCCTTCATCCCCGCGGCCCCCACACACTCCTCGCAGCAGCAAATTGTTAAATAACAGAAGAACCTCCCCCGTATAATTCACAAATGAGCGGTGGAGGTCTACTCCACTTGTTTCAAAACCAGTTGTCTCCCAACACTGACTTCTATTGCTTTGGTGGGGTGCCAGGTTCCTTGATTGATCTCAAGCTAATGGCCTTTCTGCTGGCTAGCATTGCTGACGTTCAACCTGCACTCTCTTCGCGATTCATGGTGGGTTTAGTGTAATTCAACTTGCACGTCTTCTCCGCCGAGACGTGCCAATTGGATGAGAACCTTAGAAAGGAACCCGACAGTGGAGGGTCATCATCAGCATCACTCTCTATTCTGGTCGAATGGGTGGTTGGCGTATCATTTCTCCCCCCACTTCAGCGACTACTTTTCCATATTCGTAATCCTCTTCAAAATGGAAACTTTGCTCATAGCTTTGTCCAAAGCTTTTCTCGAATCGATACTACTTCACCGTCCTTTGTCGTTCCCACCGTCAATATGAGAGGAGAGGAGAGGAGAGGAGAGCACAATCACAGTCACAACTCATTCCACTGGATAATGGAATCATTGGTCATGCTTGCTCTCTACAGAGGTAGTTGTCAGCAAACTGTAGCAGAGGTCCCCTTTTCCAGGTCAAACTACCTACGCTCCGAGAGTCCAATAGGGAGAATTACTTGTCCTCCCTCCCACAAGAACCAACTCCGTTGGCACCTTTTATGGGTTTGACAGCACCGTTTACTTTCAGACCTAAATCTCTCTTTCTCTCCTCTTTCTCTGCGTCTCTCGCGCATCTCTTTTTCTTTCACCCTCTTTCTCTCACTATTAGGATCTTTCCGTCTCTCTCACTTTTGTCTCTGCCTGTGATTCATTCAAGTAACCTTGTGGCTCTTCTTTACCAACGACGTCATGGGAAGGAGAACAATGACCTTAATAAGCGCTCCACAGGTTAAATTCCAGATGGACAGATGACTGAGGACGAAAATACTCGTTTATTAGATACCTGAATGATGCTTGCAGTGATTGTTGAGGGCACCTCTAACTGTTGAACTTTGTGACTGAAGTGATTCATTGGACATTCAGTGCTTGCAGTGATTGTTAAAGGCACCTCTAACTGATTAACTTTGTGATTGCAGTGATTCATTGGGCATTCAGTGCTTGCAGTGATTGTTGAAGGTACTTCTATTAATAAGGGCTCCACATGCTTGCACGATGATGAAAATTCCATCTGAAGCTGAGGTCTTCATTTACTAGATAGATGCGAGAAGACAGAGATCAACCATTCAGTTCGACTAAAAAACATTATTATCACGAATAAAGAGGGGTCTTACGAATTGCTTTCAGATCTTGCTAGAATTGTCTGATTTTTACGTGTAGAAAAAAATTCTGTAACTACAAATTATTAAAAATTATTTATCCACAATAGCTCTACAAAATAATTTTGAACATATATATATACATCTATCCTGAGTCATACATATATATATATATATACATCTATCCTGAGTCATACATATATTAGTTGTCAGAAAAATAAATCTGTGATAGTAAAAATGAGTCTCGTCAAGGCGTGCTCAAACAATTTTCAGTTGAAAATTCTACGTCGGCTGTTCAACCGCATATGGAGTCCTTCGAAGTGAGCCACATGATTATTGGCCAAGGAGTCTGACTTTTTAGCCTGACTAATGAACTGTGTCTACCGTGATTCTATGAATTGAAGGTAACCACAGGCCATAGAATGTCCAGTGAAGTTACGCCACATCCTTCGGCGTAATGATAACTATTCATAATGTTTTGCTTTTCCAATGAACTTGAACATGAAATGGACTGCTGCCTATACCACGAGAACGTTATCAATGGAAATTCCCAATAAGAAGTAATGAACACGAACTCCTGCAGAAAATTCAAAATTTCATAAGCATCTCGGAATCTGACAACTATTTATTGCGGTCTGTCCATCAAATTTTTCATATGGGAATCTGAAGTATAGATGACCAACTTAGGGGATGAACGGAATAGAGAATACAGGAACTTTTGTATCATTAAGCATAATGGCTATAATCAAGGGCAAAGGGGAGTAAAACTTTAATTGAGCAGAGATTTATTCCTGAAAGATTATCGTCGCCAGTGGTTTGCAGTCAACAGAAAGACTAGGCGCTTGCTGATGGAGGCGTCCTTTGTCAGCTCAGAAATTTTGCTTTTGACGCTTACGAGATACGTGAACGTTGTAGAAAGAGAATGGGCTCCAAGCTGCTCATACAATTCTACAAATTACAAGTTACAATTAAAATAATCTTACAAACTAGAATAATTATTAAGTTGAATCTTACAAAACCTTATTAAACAAATCTACAAATTAAAATCGGTAGCCTTGACAAAACTGGTCTAATGTCTCAACCACATCCATCATAAAGTTTCTTCAATATCGCTGGCATACATATAGCTACAGTTTTGTAAGCTACCATTAAACTATCTGATTAAAACGATCCCTACCCAATTCTCAAAAGCGTGCAAACTTTTAATTCCAGTATAAGACATGAAATGAAAAGGTGCGCGTTTCAAAGGCTACAAATATCTTTAAACCAAGAATAATTGGACATATAACCAATCCTAACCCGAAATATGCATACACTCACACAGGGTTACGCGTGACCATTAAGAAACAATTTCATGATTTGAGGAAAAATGCTGCAATTAAATCCATGGAGATCTTTATATGGAAATGCGGACCACATTTCTATGGTATTTAAGCAAAAACTTTGACGGAATGCAAAACCTGTAAACATAAATAATAATGTATATTGCACTGCAGCATACAGAGCTGTTCCACTGTTATTATATATAACACAATCACAACCGCACAATCACACAGCTAGCAAACCATATGTTCTGGTCACACCAAGGACAGGCACCCACTGGAGAGGGTGGGCACTTTATTCTCACAAGACATCGAGAATAGAGGACTGCACTCGCTCGCACACCGACAAACGTAATCATTACACCCATTTATTCTCTTCTAGTAGAGGGGTGCTGATATGCCTTTAGCATTAAACATGAAGGCATCGGACTAGCGCCGGAAGCTCGCTACCTGACGCTCAGGCTCTATTTCATCGTCCTTCAGCTTCACGGCGGTATATGCGGCCGCGCCCAGGATGGCACCCACTGTCGGTGCCATGAGGTATATCCATACCTGCCTGAAGTTTCCAGCAGCGATCGCCGGTCCAATCGTCCTCACAGGATTCATCGATCCACCTGTCCCTGGCCTGCACGTGTCGTTTCCGGGTACAGAGCCACATAAGCGAAATCATAAAAGACGAGGAACTATTGGTATACCATAGACTTAGTTACACATGAAGTCTGTCGTTGTGAATGAAATCAATGCCCAAAGAGTTCTAGCTAAGAGGTTATTTTCTAGTTGTGGTTTTGTTAAAACTACGGGCTCGGTTGAGAGTAAAGACCACCAAAAGAAAATGCGAATGACTTACAACCAGAACAACCGACGATAGATGTACGAAACTTTTGGAACTAGAGTTTTTAATGTTAGTGTCATCCGAAGGAAAACTCATCGGTACCAAATATATAACATTTTTTCTGTACTTTTAATTTATAATAATATTAGATTAACAACCTCTCAATAGTTGACAAGAAATGGAGCAGGTTCATCTTTTGAATCAGTGACCCCTTTTTGATTACTGATATCTCGTCATTTCTGTTAAACATGGAGTGTGTGCGTAAGATCTCACTCACCCGGCAATCATGATGTTCAGCACGACAGTAGCTCCTACAGCTATTCCTGCCAATTCTCCCACCTGCAAGAATGACATCGTAATCTAAGTTCTAGGCAGAAAATAACTCTTGGGTAGAGAGACATTGAAGAGCATATCAGTGTACCGCTCTTGTATCAGTTGCAACAGCAGTGACCACGAAGAGGAGGTTGAAGGTGATGATTAATTCGAGAAAGAAGGCCTGGGCAGTAGTAATGGACGGCACGGTAACCCCGCCGGAGAGGAAGGGGTGGTACACGCCTTTGAGGGCAAACGAGGCGCAGATGGAGCCGGAAATCTGTGCGATGATGTAGGCGGGCACCTGCGCCCAAGGAAAATGGCGGAATACGGCAAAGGCAATGGTGAGGGATGGGTTAAGGTGGGCGCCGGAAATGTGGCCAGTGGAGAGGATGACAATTGTGACGGCCAACCCTGCGCAGAGGGCATTGCCGAAGAGTCCCTCCACGCCGTTGTACTTCTGGTTCACGATCGGCGCTGCCGTGGCCCCGAAAATGAGGATGAACGTTCCCAAGAACTCTGCCCCTAGCTGAAACCATTTCGGGTTAGTGAGGACTAGCACCGTTTATGTGTATATTTCATGCAGACATTTCTTGATTAATCATACAACATGATCACTTCATTCAGGATTCACTTGAGCCCGATGGGTGCTCATTCTTAACTATCTGCGGGAATCTTTGGCCCAGAGATTTCTTGTAGCAAAACTTCTCGCATCATAATAAGACCAAAGGCCAGAAGCCTTCACTCTCTTTTTACCCTCGTATATTAACAAAACTTTGAAACTAAAGTAAATAGTTAATTTTTTAAATTTAAAAATACATTTTAAAATTGAATGAGCAATCCTATATGTTTAGATATTAATGAAGTTTTTAAATTGAATGAAGCAATCCTATATGTTTAGAACTTCGTCAAATTATTGATTTTTATATAAAAAAATTATTGCTCATAATCGTCAATAATGGTCAAGAAAATTTGAATCTTCGGAACTAGTGCATAGAAATAAAGAATAATGGCTATAGGTTTGAATTCAAATTACCCTTCCTAATGAAAAACCTGAAAATTATGAAGACTAGAGTTGAATGTCTCAAACTTATTTTAAAAAGTTGACATAGAGACTAATTTATTAACGTTTAATTTATAACAATTATGAAAAACAATGCATTGTGTGTGGGATAGAGCAAGAAAGGCAAGTCAAATAAAGTTAAATCACATTTTCATTAAAAAGAATGACAAAATCTGTAAATTTTGTCTCGTCCAACATGTCGTTTAGCGTCAAAAACCGATGCTGATTGAATTTATAAAATAATGTGCATTATTAGATAGTGGAGGACGACTCTATGCAAGGCACGTCACCGGAGCTAAGCTAGGTCTGTCGGCTACGGCTTTGGTTGGTGTAGACTAGGAAGCTATTCTTGTATTCTAGTGTTATAATGTAGAACTTGAACTGACCTCGTTGAGTAAACTACTTGGCACATGTGTTTCTTTATTCAACAGAAAAATTAATGAGCCGGCAGATAGATTAAAAAAATGGAATGGAGTTGTTGACTTATAGTTTCGGAGGCTAGAACAAGACAAACTAGAAAGGAGGAGGGTTGGCATGCAAAAAAATATTAATATATGTATGTAGAGAGATAGCGAGAGATGCGTTGAGTGGATGGGACGGACCAACTTTACGGTGGAAAAAAAGAACTCTTCTCATGGAACCAGGGATTGATAATCGACTATCTCAAAGGAACTAATCGAGACACTATATTGAGAAGATGATCTTGAATAAAAAGCCTCAGGAAATAGTAACCATGAAGTGGTTGCGAGGACGAATTCAAACAATTGAGTTAAGGGACAGATACATCGGAAAGACGAAAAGGTAAGCAATTCTTGGCATTCCAACCAGTGACTCAATAATCCATTTCTAGGAAAAAAAATTAAAAGTAGAAATGATGGTTTAGGTATAACCAATTATGTAGAAGTGGGCACCAATCATTTCTGGACACTCTATTCTAAACACCGAAAACAAGAACGCGAGCACGTGGTAGTAGAAAAAGGAAAATAAATCCAAACTACAATCTCGAGTCATGCCATCTCTTCTGATCGATAAACACAGCAGAGATGTATGTATATATATATATATATATATATAAATAGCGAGAGAGAGAGAGAGAGAGAGAGAGGTGAAAACCTTCGAACTTCGTACCTTCTTGGTGAGTGAAACGTCAGGAACCCGGAAGTCAACGAGGCAGCTTTGGGAATTAGCCAGCGAGCTGGCTGGCAGACACTTGCAGCGCGGCATGGAAAGACGGTCGTACGACGCTGACTCGACCCGAGCTTGCACCGACAGCAGCGGAGATGGCGTGCCCGGCGTTCCGGGAGTTGCAGGAGATACCATGTTCGGCATGACAGTTCCGAGTTCTGGCATTCTGTCTGAAACCTATCTGCTATCTTCTTCTTCTTTTTTATCGGCAATCCCAAATCTTTTCTTTGAATGTGGAGACTCCTTACGGAAACATTTCTTGGATTTTTATGTTTTTTTTTTTTTTGTGGTTGGGAGAAAGCATATGAATGAAGGAGATAGTTACATGATTACCTGGGTTTTATAAAGGTGATACTATAAGAACGGTGGAATTGGGGCCAGATTACCTAAAACTATTGCTGCTCTCCTATGGGAACATCAAAAAATAATAACTACGACTTTTTTTTAGCTTTTCTGTTTCCAAGAGAAATCCACGAAGGAAGATAATTACATAATTCGACAATTTTTATAAAGTTTCTTCTAAGGTATATGAATGAGGATGAGAGCCAGCTCCAAAGCCAAATACAAAGAAAGGCCTAGACAGCACTATAAATGTCGATAAGAACAGAAAGGAGTAGTTTTTGGTTTTTTGTTTTCGGCGATCTGGGGTTTAAGACAAGTTACATGCTTGAATGGCTTTTATAAAGGCAATGTCAAGGAATGACAAGAGATCTGGCCAGTTCTTATGGATCTAGACTTCCCAAACGACAGATGCCCTGCCAGACGGGTGTAATCGCCAGAGAGGAGGAGAAATCGCCGAAGGATTGGAAATAAAAAGAGAGTTCGACGGCCACTGCTGCGGGAAGAAGCCGAAGAATCAGACACAAACGAGAATTATATTACCCTCGAAGAAAGCATTGTTTGATGGGGATCTGACGAAGGATCTCTGGAGCACCAGCGAGGCGAGCGAGAGAAAGAAGAGGAGATGAAGGTGAAGGGAGAGAGACAAGCAGAGCATCCGGGGGACTTATGTGGTCTGCCCCCCGAGGTCCTTATTTATAGTAGGTTTGAGATTGGTTTTCATGCTCTATGTAATAATATTCAATGTAAAATGCAAAACCGAATGGAGGAAAGAAGCTTCGCATAAACTACAGATACAAATATAAATATATAAAGCATGTGGCGTGTATTTACTTAATTTATGGTTGGGCTAAAGGCTTTGAAAAACGCAACTCGTTGGCATATGTCGATGCGTGCACCGAAAATACTGTGCCACCGAGCCCCCATACCCCGTTGACGTAGTGACTGGGCTAGCGTTCGGTGACCGGATTCGCGTACGCAGAGGCACGGGAATGGACGCTTTCTCACAACGGAGGCGTCGGAAAGCAGTATTTTAGCGAGTGAAGGCGCGAATGCGCAATTCTGTCACTTACTCACTGCTTGTGCCACGTGTCCCATAATTCATTAATGGAGTCACGACCCCACGACTACGAGCATTATAAGGGCACATGGGATTTTGAGAACCGACGAGGGGAATCCCTCGGATGGATCCCAAGTCAAAGGTCAACACGTGGACGTCTGACCTGGCTGACGATAACACGAGAGAGAAGTTGTTGCGTTGGGGTCTACGAAGCAACAGTTTATTATATACTCACACATACTATGCACATTGGGAGTAAGGAGGAGATTCGTTCGATGTATCGACATTTTACGAATTTTTAGTAATTGACAAAAAGAAAGTGAAAGCAGGATTTGTCATTGTACGCTGGGTGATCAATTTTTGTCCAACCGTGAGCGCCTCTTCATAACTTCGTCCATGGATTACATAGTCTTGTCTTCTCCGCCCACAGATTGATGTCCAAAAACTCCAATAGTCAATAACAGATCCAAAGATATTAGCAATGGCTAGTATTTGGAAAGTAACGCCTTCATTAACTCTTTCATGTATGCTTAAACTGTAAAAGGAAACATCGAGGATTTTTTCACATAAAAAATGTCAAGACACAGTCCTCAGAACATACGCCTACTATGGAACAATAAGGGTTTGGAGTAAGCAAGGAAAGGAAGCGAATTTTGAGCTCATAAAGCAAGCGTACCTGGGAAAAATTATGCGGAACGGCCTGATATAATGTTATGTTAGTCCTCATATAAGCGCCTTCCAAGCATTTAGCGAAGCAAAATTATAGCGCAAACCGTATGTGCTTGGGGCTCTAAAAGACCGTCGATACCTGATAACTATCTTTCTTCCCTCGCATAGCCATTGCGTGAGGCATCAAAGTAGCTATTGTTACGAGGGTACGAGTGGTGGCAAGCCAGAGAGCTGATCCTGCAGACAGTCAGCTGAAAGCCTGATCTCAGAGAACGTTTCTTCCGCTATTCATCTCTGGCTGGTTGTGATCCATTAGTAGCTTGCGGAGTAAGAGAACGGTGGGACTGGATAGGGGTGGGGCATTCGTGCAGAACATCCCAAATTATTTTGGAATAAAATAAGGCAACTCATTTCGAGTTGAGTAATATGAGTAAGGAATAATATCAAGAAGGAAAAAAATAAAATAAGGAATCATATTCATCCTCTTAGACTGAAATCAGATTCCTTCCAAGGCTATCCTAGCATTTTGAATATTATAATGGCACGCAACAATCGTAAGGGAAATATTCCGCAGACTTTTAAGTTTTAGTTTCTTAACTTAAATCAAGGACTAATTTATAATAACACAGTTTGTAAAGTTATTCCTAATTCTAGCAAAGATGAATTCTTCCTGAATATAGGAGGTCTTTGGGAATTAAAATCATAATATTTCTGTAACAACTTAATAAGACGAATTGAAATTTATTTGGGAAAATATTAGTGTGCAATTTTTAGCGAAGCTCTGATCATCCATCAGCAGGTTGGGAAGTCAAAAACACGTAAAATTACCTCCATTAGGTCCATAACCTTCTCTCCCAACACTACGCCTTCACATGACGACATTCTTCGAAATCTATCAAAGAGATGTAAAGTTTATGAGCTACTAGATTCCATTACAGTCAATGTCCTTCTAGTCTGAGCTCTTGTCTGGTACTTGCAACTATAGCACAAGAAGACTTGATCGTTTATAATAACTAGGCAATAGAATTGTACCTCGATGGAGCCTCGACTTAACAAGATTGCAATTGATGTACGTCATGCAAGCCGATGCTGGCATTATTTTCCTTATTTTCCTTGTTTTCGTCATGATCCCTTGACCAATTAAACTACTAAATACCTGAATGTCTTAGTTTTGATTTAAAATTCTTCTGGAGACAAATAGTTAATACGTTCAACGGGTTCCATGTGTGAGAACGGTTCATGTATGGTACCGAGGTACGAATAAACGTCAGCGGCAGGCATAGGCTCCTTATCCCAACACAGATTAAATAAATAAAGAAATCGTCATGTCATAACATTTCACTCATTTACTGTCGATTGGATAGCAACGGATCTACGGTCATAGAGAGCATCTATTGACTACTCTCCCGATATTACTAGTATTCCTTGCGAATTCTCTAAGGTAGAGATGATGACACCGGTACGAAGCAAAAGCAAAACAGATTTTGGTTAATGGCATCCCACTGTGTCACCATCAGGACTACTGAGAGGCGATTACCACGAAGCCTCCTTGTCGCGTTCCATCACGATCAAGCTCGTCAATCACTCATATGATTCACATGGGATGCATTCACATCTCACACACTCGCAAAGTTCTGATTTTCCAGCGTTTGTGCAACAAATATAATAAGAGACATCATCATCGTTCCTTAAAAAGTAAAATCTCTCTTTTAAGTATCCATATTTTATGCCTGTCAGTCCTTCTGTGACCCTCATAATCACTTGGTAGTAATTTCCTCAACGCTTCAAGTCCTAGAGCTGCGGTAGAATGTCATGTGTAGTGGTGTGTGACGGATGTGACCTGTTTCCTTGTCTTCTGTGCCCAGCTCCACTACGTGTCACATCTCATGCATCATCATATAGAAAACAAGTCCGCTTCATGAGGCCTCGCCTCCCCTTAAGGAAAGCCACGTGACAGACAAAGCAACGGAGGCCTAACCAACAACCAGCCTAGACAGAGTAGTCCCTGTTGCTTCACGTGACTTTCTACTGATTCTTTTCCTAGCATTGTTTTTAGTGATTTCTCGGACATACCATCGTGTGGAGGGCTTCACCTCCCGGCTAATCATGGAACAGAACAAAGCAGCCCTACCCACCTACCGATATCTACGTCTGCAGTAAACCTACGAAAGAAAAGATCTCGAATTTTCAGAACAGAACAGAAGGAAAGATCGAAGAAGCTTCAGTGCAGTATACAATTGTAGATGGCGATCCTTAAGATAAAATATGGAAACCGATGAACTTCAGCCACGTCAATTAAACTTTTTTATAAGAGACGCCATGAGAGAAACCTGATCCCTCGTTCAAAACAAGACTCAAAGTGGGGGAGAAAAATCAATGGCGAACATACTGCAGCTTGAGGCAGAATTCAATGTAAGAACCAATGAAATATTATGGGCCTGCAAACAATCAGGCCCAAGGACTAACGCCAAAACAATCAGGGCCTTCCCTCCCTCCTCTTGACGCAACTACCTGTTCCGATTGGTTAAGCGTGCTCTGCCACTGTCAACGACATTCTCAGCCACGGACTCCTGATTTTGTAGTTATTTATTAATGAGAGGAATAACAAGGGAATTAGCAGAAAGACTTCCAGAATTGCAATTTTTCGTCATCGGGAAAGATGACACATTATGAACTAACGCTAATTGAAATGCTTACTTTATTTTAATGGCACCAGATTTTGTTTACCTTGAACAACGGAAAAAAACTGAGGCACTTTCGAGAATAAACGTTTATGGCTCACGTGAAATTATATATGACGAGTTAGATTATTTGTAAAAATCTCTACCAATTTTACTCATTATACAGCCCAATTCTTTTGAACAGTTGTCATAACACCATAAAGTAGTATAAGATCATGAACATCACCAGCGTATGAAGAAATAAATGGAAGAAACGATTAAATTAATACCATACCACTAAAATTTAATTGACATAGGGAAGATAGTAAGCGAGTGACTCACGAAAACAAAAACAAAATGTTTCAAATACCTGTATAAGATGACAAAAAAGCATGGAAAGTGCTGAATTCAATTAAGAACGAGAAGTTATTCACAAGCTGAAAATAAGTTATATTTATTATGTCATTTATGCTGACTTATAAGTAACTATTATTATAACAAAACTAAATACCTAACAGAAATTATAAAATTTTATGTGCCCTTTAGTTTTATATCTGAAGCATTTATGGAACCAACCAAGATGTATATGCTTCAAGTATCACTTTCAACATTTCAACTGTAGCTTCAATGTAACTGATAATTTGTTTAAATAAAATTTATTTAGTGAAAACTTCATGCACAGTACAAAGTTTAATTTTTTCTAATCTTGTATGTTCATATAGAGATTTTTTATTTTTTAATCTTATTAATGAAGTACCCCATTGAC